GGCGGCGTCGAATCCGCCGACGCGCATGCTCTCGCAGCCGGGTCGTGAAGTGTTTGTCCTGGCGGTGGGGAGGAGCACCTCTGCTGAGGCACCCGCTGGGTGTCAGATACTGGAAGTGAATCACCTCTCGTGGGAACGAGGAGCGGGACAAATCCTGTCACCCTGTGGTCAAACGTGCTCTGAGGGGCTCCGGACTGAAATAATTTCCTGCTTCTAAATTTTTTTTTTTTTTTACTGTACGTTTATTCCACTTAACCTCACTTCTAGGCCAGTTTACGCTGGCGTTGTCCTATTAGATATTCCTAAGGCCTGCCAAAAGGTCTCAGCTTGTCATTTTGTATTGAGACTTGATATTATTAGTTAACTGCCTGGTGCTTCTGCATCCTTTTCTGTGTTTCTTCAACACACTGGCTCAGATCTTGAAGCATCTAATCAGCCAAGACTGTCACTAACTGCAAGATATTTGGCACCGGTGCGTCCACAGCCCTTCTGCCCTGCGTAGCTACGTGTAGCAGAGACACTGCTCTCTCTCGAGTCAGCTACATTAACCCCAGCGCGGAGGAAAAGGGGGAGAAGGGAGGTCTGGCATCACTCAGGACTGGCCTAGCAGAAAACTGAGCAAAGCTTATGCAGTGCTAAAAGCACCTTCTCTCAGCTCTGGGACTCCAGCCCCTCGTCTCTCTCAACATTGGTCACGAGAATAAAAGTCTGGTATTTTAACGTAAAACCTAGGCTTGCTTGACGTGCGTTAGCAGCATGCATGATATAGGCCAGTGGCCAAACCGGAGCGATGACGCTGTATTTATAGAACAGCCATAGAGATGTTGACATCCCATTAAATCTCATATTAAATGTGAGATAAAACTCAGGCTAAAGGACCTTCTAGGAAGAGCTGGTGGTGGGAGGAAATAAAGCTGGTTCCTTAGTACCCAGCCTCCTTGGAGTGAAACAACTCTGCCATTATCTTGTATCGTGTTACCAGCTGAGCTATCTTTAGGCTAAGCCATGAAACAAGAGCCTCCAGCCACTGCGGGTTCGGAGGGTTCCATGACACATTTATTGCAAGATGAGAGGTATTTAAACCAGTATTTACATTCTGCTCAGTACTTTTACATCCTGCCTGTCTGCATTCTCTCTCCCTTTTCAACTAGGAGAGCCCTGAAGTGATGCTATTTGCTGTTACAAATTCCCTCCTCAGAGTGACTACGACTTGCCTGCTTTACAGGTCCAATGAGAGGCACAAGCTTAAGTGTAGATCCTTCTACAGTCCTCAGCTGGGCTGCTAAGTGCATCACTTTTAAATCTCTATCAAAATAGCCCTCCGTTGCAGCATCTGCCTCTTGTGGAGTTCTCCCATCTCCCCTGAAGTCCTGAGTTTCATCCCTGGCACAGTGTCATCCCTTTGTCCTAACCAGTATGGCGGTTCTGGTAGTCACCTCTGCAAGTAACCAGCCTTCTTGACATTTTTGTCGTTATACTAATTAGAGTGTAACTGGGAGAGCAGTCATCAAAATCCACTTACTGGCAGCAAGATGAGGGGTCTTTAACCGTTGGCAACACTGTTGGCGGCCATGGCTGAATAACTAAATAAAAGGTGCAATGTGGTAAGCAATTTATTGCTGACATTTTATTCAGAGTTTTGTCTGGATTCAAATCTTCTCCGACTGCTTTTTTAAAGCTTCATAATGGAGGCAGCTACTTAATCGGGAGGGTGAGCTGACTACCAACATAGCCCCACGAAGAGACTTCTACTGTACTGTGTACATGTTTCCTGTCTAGAAATTAGAGACCTCTTTCTTGCCTTGCTTTTTGTCACAGCAGTCATATTTATGAGTTTTTCCTGTCCTGGCAGGCTTTCACTAGCTGCAAAGGAGTGCTGTAAATTTGCGTGCAGCTAGGGTTTCTTTTTCTGCAGTTCTGAAGAAATGTTTTAGGTCTTTACTGAGTAACTGAAACAGACTCGTGTTTTGCAAGCTTCTTCCTGGAATACGTTTTATTATAGTCAGGACTAAAGGAAACTTGCGTAAAAGCATTCAAACAAAAGCAACTATTGGTGTGAACCCAAATGTCTATGTTAATAAAACTAGAGGGAAAAAAGCTAGAGAAGATATGATATGCATTTACTTAGTCTCTCAGACATTAATTTGTTGGGGGGGTGTTGTTTTCGAAACCTATAAATGAAATGAAATTGTTTTGTGGAAAAAAAATCATTAAAGGAGATACTTTTCAGCATGAATATTCATTGGATTATGACATTCAGGTAGTGCATGGCAGTTATATCTGTTTATTTTCCCCCAAAGCAAGTCAGTTATATTAGCAGGCCTAATTTCACTGCCTTTCAGGATTGCACTGTATACAGATACACATCCAGAATAAAATGCAGAGGTAACTCTGAGCTACAAGGCTAAGGCTAATTTGCATTTCTATGCCACCTTTCAAATACAAAGATCCCAAAGCAGTTTTCTTTAAAGAGAACAGAAAATTGTCTGTAGAACTGTTTTATCAATACTGAAATGCAGCAGCTGATTAGCAGCAGAGAACCCTAAGAATCTCTCTTATATAACTGAAATGGAAATAAGAATTTGGCCAGGCAGAAAGTAACGATGCAAATCATAACATGGCCAGGATGTTGGGGCTAGCGGCTGTATTCCTGCAAAAGGTACCACACGGTCATAGGTAGCCAGGACTTTCCTTTATCTACTATCTCCTCCAAGTGTTACAGAAGAACCACATTAGGAAACAAATTTAATTCTGCTCCATTTGGAATTATACCAGTATTACTACTGTAGGCATGAATTTCAGCTGACACTCCTCTTCATGTTAACCCTTATATTCTGGAATAAAAATATCTTTCTATCTTAATTGATAAAAAAAATCAACTCATTCCAGAATAAGTGTGTCCACTCAAAGAGCTATTCTAGTGTATCCAGCAAAGTCTGCTGATAATGATGTAATAACAAAAATGTTTCCATCAGAAAATCTACAGAAAGAAAATTTTTCTTGCTGAGTGAATTTTTTGCAATGCTTCCCATCCATCTACTAAGCAGATTCAATATTACTTAACAAGTGCTATGCCAGATACACATCTTCCCTGGCCTTATCAGGTTTGCACTGACTTTCGTACACCTCAGATCATAGGAATTAGTTACATTCAAACCTATGAGTCTCAGCATTAAAGAAAAAGCTTTCAAAGCTGTGTTAAATTGCAAAGATATGCTCAGCTGAAAAAAAATGAAGCATCTTTCAACCAATGAATTGATTTGATTTTAGTTTTAAGTGAGCCAAAAAGATGCTACTCAGAACAGTACCTATAAGCAGACATCACATTTCCTTGAAACGTTTTCTAAAAGTAATTACCTGTCTGTTAATATCACCATAGAAATATCCATGGCTCCTTGTTCTATACAGGAAATAATAAGATCTAAATTTTGCAACAAATATCCCTTTGACTGACTGAACGGTGCTTTGTGCAGTTATGATGGGACAATGAATCTACTGTGAAATCAGCTGGTAACCTTCAACATTCATTGAAAATTATCCTAGAAATAAACCAAAGGTGAAAGTTACAATGAATAAACATCACATCAGATTTGGATAATTAAAGGAAGGTTAAGTCAGATGCTCAAGAGTTATTACTCTACTGTCAGGACACTCTACTGCTAGAAGCAGGTCAGAGTAAGAGCTGTACTCTGTGAGGGAGCAAGAAGGGGACTGTCATAGATGGTACTCAAGGCCCTGAGACAGAAGATCCTCTCTTCATGTGGCGAGATGGTTTGGACTCCTTTGGAGAGGCAGAGAACAAGGTGGCTTCACTAGAAGCAGCGAGAGGACAGGGCATTGTGCTTGAAGGAGGAGAAACTTATTGGGGGCAAACCAGTCAACAGATGAACGGCTGAGTCAAGAAAAGTACATATCTCTAAGGGAACCAAAAAGGAAAAGGATAGCAAAAAAGGAAAAGGTGCAACCACTTGCATAGCTTCACCTTATTTGTTCGGTGTCTACCACTAACATTGCACAGGAAGGAAATATCCTGACTTAACCATCAGGGTCAATAGTTTAAAAAAAAAAAACATAAATTTTGTTTCCAAACTGCAGTTACCTTATCTACCACAGTTTCTCCTGAGATGCGAGAGACATGGAACTAAACTGTTGGAATTTTTACAAAGTTGCTTCATGAAGTAGAAAGGTTCCATAACTGCAGTTTTTAGAAACTGTGTTTTTCCTAAACAGCTCACTTTAGAATATAAAATATATGTTAATTAAAATGCATTCTATATCTGTATGTAAGAACAGGAGTACAAAATGAAATAACACCATTTAGTTCCGCAACACAAGCGGAATTTGCACTGATGTCTAAAAGAAAATCTAGAAGGGCCTGAACCACTTATTCACCCCACAACATGGCTACTTGATGGGCACTTTTATTTTCTGACCTGCTGTTTTCCTTCCACATTTTTTTTTTCCAAATAAGAAGTACAGCTCCAGGCTAAGGAAATCTCTTCTGACTCCATCTCTTCTCCTCCCCACCCCAAATGTTAGTAAGTGCATGTATTGTCAACAGAGGTTCCTTCTCGGCCAACATTTTCCTGGTCTTATTGTCCTGTATTGTCCTATGTCCGTCATTAGAAGAAGGCATCAGAACTTGTAATGTTCTTTTAGGAGACTATTTTCTTTCCTATTTCAAATAAACACTTTTTTTTTTTAAATTCAACAGTAGTGTTATTCCTTCTAGATCTGTTGTCAGAAGACGGCAACGTAAGGTGAAGAGATGCTTAAAAGCAAAGAAACAGCCATGATGCTGCTAAGGATAGAAAAGAGTTCAGCTTGCAGGAAGGGTCTCATCTTTCTTTTAACTCATGCTTATGGCAATTTATCAGTCGGAGTCACTGGGCAAAACTTTTGGCAAGTTTGCAGAAGCCCTTTCGCAAAAACAAAATTAAAGGAATGTGGACCAGCTGGAGCATGTATAACAATCAGAAAGATCCTATTTACATCACTGAAAGGAAATTTGTACCCTATGATTTGGATACCCAAAGCATTTGATGAAAGACTGCCTCTTCTGCTCAGAAGGTGTGATTGCTTAATGACATAGTAGCAAAGTGCTGGCTACCATATCTTGATTAGGACAAATTTAAAAAAAATAAAGAAAGGTAGTTAATATCATACATATTCCAATACTTAAGTATACAAAAATGTTTGTAAGATATTTTCATAAGAATTCTTGACAGCTGTGGCAATATTGCAATACGTTGCTGAAGAGAAAGAAACAACTACTATCTGTTTGCCTAAACGTCCTTTAAGTATAAGCCAAATTGCAGCAGAATCCATCTAAAAAATTAAGTCACTCTAAAACAAAAAGCAGTTAAGGAAGAGAATTCTGACCGAAATGCACAAATCCATTTACATACTTTAATTTTTATAAAAACTGTAATCCCAAAAGGCATTTTCTCTGATCTACTTCGCACACATGCAGCCACAGCTGAACTCAGTTGGCTGGGCAAAGATGTGTTCCAAGCAAGAGCAGCCTGACTCCTTTGCAAGTTTGAACGTTTGAACTCTTCCCACAGCTGCAGCGCAGAAAACATCCGTCTTAACCACTGAGGGATGGAACCAATGGCAGATGTGGCAGAGTCACTAGGTGGCTTTGGGTGAAGCTTGGAGACTCAGAGACAATTCTTTTCTTGTTCACCAGTGGGGAAGCCATGCGAGGAGAAGTTCATTGGGCTAGATGGGATTTCTTTATCCCGGCAACTCATGGAAGGATAAGGCCTGTGTCATCCAAATTAGTATATGGTGAAAATAATGGTAAGCGTATTTAATATGAGTTCTTTCATATAGCCCGTAAGATCATTGTGTTAAAGCTCTCAGCAATTAAGAAAAAGAAAAAAAATCCAAGCCAGAAGTAAAGAAAATATTAGTAGTTACACTTCACCGCAATTCCTTCTGCTGTTGAAAGCCTAACAGATGTTTGATTCCCGTGTTGATGTTTTTGGGGACAGGCGTTAAAAAAAATACATTAACTGGCAGACAGTCATATGAGTACTCTCTGTTTAGATATACAAGTATTCTTCACCATCGCAGATGAACAAAATGAAATGAGAAAACGGCTAAGCTGTAAACTTTGGTCCGTCAAGGATGCCCTGCATAGAGCAATGCAGAGGGAAGAGTCCTGGTTGCTCAGTGAAGAAGGGCCTAGAGCAGGGAGCAAGGGTCACCAGCTGCTTCCCCTGCAATCAGAGGAGGGAGCATTTTGAAGACAGACAGGAAGAAAGGAGAGAGCTGAACCCTGCCA